TTAGTTTTTTATAATAATTTATAAAAATTAGGTTTTTATATTAATTTAATTTAATAATATTGATTTAATTGATAAATATGTTATTTGATTTTTATTAAATTAATGACGTGATTGTTGATCATGCTAATGTGATGTTGATTTTAATAATATGGCGTTGATTTGTCGATGTAACAATTGAAATTGATAAAATTAATTGTTAGATAATGTAAATAATCCTTATACTCATACGAAATTTGAAATTAATTTATATACTTGCATAAAATTTAAAATTTAATTCATGTACTCGTATGAAATTTGAAATTTAATCACTTTAATTCAAAAAATATTTTGAACTTTTAGAAATTTTTTATTTTTTTAAAACATTAAATTTTAAAAATTGCTATAATATTCTCTCATAATATTTTGTTACAAGATTGAAAAATCTATCACAATATTTAGTCACAATTTTCATATATTGTTACTAAATTTGTAAAATTTTTTGTCACTTATGTGAAATACTTTTACTAGTTTTTTTACTATTTCTTATTATATTATGTCATAAACTATAAATCTGTTATTAATTTTGTCATTTTTTTTATCACAAATGTAATATATTATGGCCGTATGAAAAAAAATCTTAAACCAATTTATTTAAAATTTATCAAAAACTTATCGATATATAATACAAATCTATCATGATCTAATTTTAATAAAATTATTATTTTTTATTGATTTATTTAATGAATTAGAATTAGAATTACATCTCATAACAGTGAAATTATCTATAAAACAATATTTCTATTCCTTTAAATTAAGCCCTATTTAAATGATTTTTTATAATTAGATTCAAAATTCTAAATACCTTAAAGTAATTTACTAAACTTAATACATATTAGTTTTAAAATTAATCTTATTATTTAATTTAACATAATTATTTAAACAAGTTTTTTTGGTGAAGATAAAAAAAATTGAAAGTACGATATTGATATATCAATTTATCAAATAAATTAGGATTCAAAGTTTGTCTTTCAAATAGATAAGAGCTCATCCCTCCTAAGAATCTATATTTGAATTTTTTATTTTGTTTGGTTGGATGAAATGATCGTTTTAATCATGATTTATTTCGGATTTATTACAATGCAAATCTATTCAATAGTTTGATTCATTATAAGTTTTGTTATATAATATATTTATACTAATAAAATAATATTAATTTTGATATATTAATTTAAATTATTAATATTATAATGATTAATATAAATGATAATAATAATATTATTAGTATGATACTAATAATAATTAATTAGATATAATAAAACTAATACATTAAAAGAACTAAAATTTTTAAAAGTTTTAAAAATTTTAAAAAATTTTAAAAAATTCAAAATATTTTTTATAATAAAGGGATTAAATTTCAAATTTTGTGTGAGTCTAAAGACTAAATTTCAAATTTTGTGCAAATATAAAGACCATTTACTAAATTTAATAACTGATTTTATCAATTCTAATTATCACATCATAAGTTAATGTCACGTAAATAAAGTGAATACCACGTTAGCATGGTCAACGGCCATGTCAACTAATTTAAAGGAGATCAACTAACACTATTATCATTTAGGCTAATATTATTAAATTAAACTAGTATAAGAATATAATTTTTTCAAATTATTATATAAGAATTAAAATTTAAATTTATATAAGTATATGGACTAATTGCATAATTTTATCGTTTTGAAATTGTTCTATCAAATTTATATATGATTTTTGTTAGTATTTTAAATTATATCACTTTAATATTTTATTTTATATTATTTTCATATTGTACCATCATATTACGTTTAAAATTATTAAATCTATTTGTCAATCCAACGAGAGACTCGAAATCAAATGTAATTTAAGACAAATTTATTATTATTATCGCGATTGAAAAAAGTTTGAATTGAAAAAATTTATTTAAAAATTTTAAATGTTTAGAATTATTGTGAAAAAGTAGTGTGAGTAATTGAAATATCTAAAATGATACACATAAAATGATAAAAATATTGAAATATAATATAGTGATTTTATCCCAAAGCACTTTTTCACCTTAAAAGGCGCCTATTGAATAAATTTTTAGTTTAGATTGTAAAACAGGTTTCTAAAATAAAAAAATTCTATATTTTATTGTTTAACATTGAGAATGAATAAAAAATAACTTTTAATGCAAAATTTACTTTGAACAACAATGTTAAAACGGCTTTAATCGTACAGAAAGCCGCAAATCAAAGTGTACATATAGAAACATAACAATTGAATGTACAGACAACCTAAAAGCCCAAAAATGGTGATTAAGCAAAATTGGATCCCAACCACACTTTGGGTTGTGGGCTTATTACCCTAATTGGTCCTCGAAAAAGATTTTTGTTCTATGTTGAGTATTTAGCTATAGTGATAAATAAAATAAATTTATCCAAACACTTTGCGCTGGTCTATTTTGGTTGCCTAAATGTTCTCACATTATTTATGATCCATTTTTAATGGTGTAAATTTCATTCAAGTCCTTGGATTTTGGTCATAATTCACACTAACTCCATTAATTTTGGAATTGGACATTCCACCCCAAAATTGAACGGTTGCACAAGTACTCTAAGATCAAACCTCCAAAAAAATCGGGTTTTTCTCGTTTCTTTCCTCCCATTTTCTTTCTTCACTTTTTCATTCTCTCTCGTTCTTTGTGATCAAACCAATTGTCCACCGATAGACTTGTTTTTTCAAAATCTGGCAATTCATTATCGCATTTTTCATTACTCATCTTCGTCGACCATCGCTCGCCGGCGATGAATTTTTTTGTTTTCCAAAATTAGCTTACTTCTTCGTTTCAATACTAGTATAATATTGCCGCATCATGAATCAGTGATGTTCATTGTTGTCAGTAGCTGGTATAATTTCTTATTGATAGGGTAAGTAAGTGAAAACTGGTGGCTCCTGATAGTCCAGAAACATTAGCTGGATGAATAGTCTGGTTGAAATTTAAATTTTTTTGTGTTTAAGTGCCTGTTTACTTGGTTCGAAAGAAAATAAGAAGCATTCATTGAATCGTGTGTCGTAACCAATATCATTAGTGTCTCCCTCTATATCTTCTTTGTTTGTTTTGGGCTATTTATATCCCAATGGAGGAAAATGACGTTAAGAATGAGGAAGAAAAAGGGAAGGAAGATAATGATGAGTCTTGCGAGGAATAAGATGAGGGGTGCTGCAATTCAAAAGTATCGATAACAATTAAAATGATAGAAGTTGGGGAACTGCAGTAGTTGAGCATCTGTACTCATCTTCTGCCTCAATGGACTCATCACCATCATTTTCTTCCCCTTTCTCACGTCTTCTTCCCTAAAGATCTTAACCTTAACTTCATCATAACAGCATTAGCCTTATCGGACATGTCCCTTAAGTTATCTGCTCTTCCTTATTCTCATTCTCTTCATCAATCCACTTTTATAATTCTAGAGCAAGCTGCTTTGTTTTCAAAAGTTAATGTACCAATGTTGGATGCTTGCTTTGTAGTCAGTTGACGCTAGATATGATGCATTTGAGACTCAAATGGAAACTTGAAAGGTTTCGGACAAGATTATTAATTTCCGGTACTCGAGACTTGTGGTTCGGGGATGCTATCCTCCAAGTTGCTACTGTTTTTTTTTTTTTAATTTCCGATATGATGTTCTTTTAATTGTTCTTCATATAACATAGGAGTTGTTAGCATAGGGAATCAAGACTCAGACAGCCTAAAGTTCTAGCTCCATCATACCTTATTTTAATGGAGTCTTACATGAAAATGAAGAATAATTATCTAATGCCATAGAAAAAATTTGATGATATTTGTAGCAGAAAAAAGCCTTCATTTTCACGTACGCTATTCTTAATCTCATTATAAGAGTTTCTAGCCCCCACAACCTTGCGAAAATATCCTGTGTTTTGCTCACCGGTTGCACCTATTGCACACTGAATTTTTGCCTGTAAAAAGCTTCCTTAGCCGCCATCATCATCATGACAAGTTCAGAGGATTTAGCCTTTGTTGAATCGGCTAAACCAATATCAAAAGGCGCGGCAAGAAAGTTTCTCTGCAAGACAACCAACTCTTTTCGTAACACCTCAATTTTATCTGAAATGGCAGCATAATTCTTGCAATTAAGTTGCTTAAGGGCAAGCTTTGGCAATTCCAGCCTTTGGTGAACTGCGATAGGAGAACCTCTCACATTTTGCTTCCAAATATCTAACAATTTTAATGTATCGAAACAATACAAAAATAATACAAACAAAGTTACGATTTAAAATTTAACAAAAGTTACATAAAGATTTTTAGAAAACAAATAAGAAGTACTTTGTATTTTTCTCTCTTGACATGAATTTAAAATGATAATTTTTTATATTTTATATATATTTATAAATATAATAATGATCAAATCTACTGAGTAGATTTGAAGTTCTTATTATGGCCCAAAGTTAAGGAACTTAAAAGGACTTTGGGGCTAAGAACTATAACTTCAGTATTTAGGACCCAAAGGCAATTTCAGCTTACCGTATAATTTTTTTTTTTATTATTATATCAGGAAGACATGTTTTAATAAAAAAAAAATTGATTCAAAATTAGATCTTTGATTTTTTTTAAGCGTTTTTAATTATTAAATCAAAGGTTTAGAGATTTATAATTTTTATTAAATATGTTAGTTAACAGTAATTATGCTAATTTCTAATTCATCGAAAAAAAAGACATTTAATATAAAAATCTAAAAATATAATTTTAATACATTGGATGACAAAAAAAAAAAGTTAAAACTGAAAATTTGGGCCTGTTCTTTGGGTCTTTTTATTTAACCTAACCCAATTAAAACCAACGACGTTCTTCGTCGAACCGTCAAACGGGACAAATCTGCAGCGTAGGCTCATTAGAGGACTGGAACAGAACCAATGAAACAGTCCACAATCAAACAAAGTCTATTTAAAAACATATTCTTGACCGTTCATTTTGTCTGCTTGTGTCCTGAAACTCCAAACAGTCCAATGTGGCAATTTCTTTATCCTCGATCAAAATACAAACAAACATTAATTCAACCCAAAAGAAAAATTATGGCAGTGAAAATTTCAGCTTCTGCTCCTTATGTCAAACGCTCTTGGAGAAGAGATGCTGGTGCTTCTTCTTTGATTCCCAAACTTCTCAAGAACCCAAAAACATTAATGGCGTTGGCTTTGCTTTTCATTGACTCCCATCCTCGTCTCCCTAATCATCGCCTACGTCCCTTTAAAGTTCCATAAAAATCCACTCTCTAACTTTTTCTTCCCTGAATAATTAAACTCTTTGGTGACATGTCACGGTTTCAATTTTCAGATACGGGGATAGATTGGGCCGCTACAATGTCGCAGGTGCGGTTTTTTTTATACTAATCAAGCTATTTCTGTTTCCGGGTTGCTTGAGTGATTACCTTTTAATTTATTGGGATAGTATAGAATTAGCGTTTATTAAGATGATAGGTAAGTGGGTTTCCTGGAGGAGAAATGGATTACAAGAACTTGAAGGGAGAAACCGGGCCACTTGTCTACCCAGCTGGCTTCCTTTATGTTTATTCTGCCATTCAGTATATTACAGAAGGACAGGTTTTTCCAGCTTAGGTGATCATAGTATCAGGCAAATTAAATTTTCTTGTCTCTGATTTGTGCTTATGTAAGCCAGTTACTTATGCTTCCTTCTTTACTTTTTTTTTTTGGCTGTGGATTGGAGATTTTATTTGGGATTTTATACATCATAAATCTGGGAATCGTCTTATTAATCTATGTAAAGACGAATGTGGTATGGAATTTACTTGTGTTATATTAGTTCAGTCACTAATATATGCCTATAATGTATGCATCACCTGCTTTTGTTTATGGTATACTTAGCTGTGTTGGTATGTAGAAGTGTGTAGAATATACTTCTAAAGTGTTCTAAAATAGATGTCATTATTCTGAGTGCTGGTAACTTGTGATGTTTGCTTGATTTCCATTATGAGCTTCCATTATCATTTCCACCATTTCTTAAGCACTAGTAAAATTTGGATCTTCACCACTCAGAAACCATCAAATCTCTCGAAAATGAAATGTTCTTGACTGTTAATGTTTCTTACTCTTTGTTGCATCAGTGTTTGTTTATTTGTTCTGGTTTTTGAGATTAGCATTTGTTGTTCTTAAAATGCCTTGCAGCTTCCATGGTGGGCTCTGAGCTTGCTTTGTCTTTTAAAAAGAGTTCACTCAATATTTGTGCTTCGTCTGTTTAATTACTGTTTTGCAATGACACTTCTCCATGCTGCTGCAATTGCATCCATTCTTTACAAAAGTTGGCATTTGGGATTGTTTATTTTTAGGTAGCATGCACACTCTATTAGTACCTTTTTTCTTTTAAAAAGGAAAAGAAGAGAAGTTGATTCCACTTTACCACTTTTTTTTTTTTTTGGGGGTGTGTGTGTGTAGTGGCGCAGTTTCGTTAAAGATGAATCTCCTCTATGCTGCACCTCCTTTTATACTCATGCTAAGGTGCATTAACTTCTGCTTGATTACATTTTTCTATTAATTAGCAACTGGGTCAGTTATTATGCTCAAACAGTTGCATCTTTCTTTGGTATAACTTCTTATAACAGGCAATGAATATTAGTGGGGTAAAATCAGCTTTAGCTGGTGTGGCACTTGTGCAGGTATGTGAACTATTCCTTTTTGGCCTTTGAGGACTCATTATCAGCATTTAAATTTCCTGATAATTGAGGTTTCTATTTCTAATTTCCTTCATTGCTTTACAGATTAAATTCTTTTTCTTTCTTAACATGGGAACTGGGAAGAAAATATAAATCTCCATGCATCTTAACTTACTTTCAACATGGTTAGGCGAGTTGGACTACTTCACTTAATGTTGTGGCAGGAGGCAATGTCTGCCAGTATGTTGATTGACTTTTACATACTCAGTAAATGGTTCTGCAGATTGTGCTGGGGCTGCCAATTTTAGTATCATATCCAATTGAATATATATTGTGAGCCTTTAATCTTGGACGTGTCTTCATCCACTTCTGGTAAGTTTATAGCATTGAAAATGCTCACCCTTCTCCTTAGTTTCCAGTTACTAACAAATTGACAGGATTATTCAGTAGCATCTTTAATGAATTTTAGGTAATTTTTCTTGTATTATTGATATTTCAAGGAATATTAGCTTGTCAATTAGTGCATCAACTGGATTACAGATTGGATTGCTGGATCAAAATCTGATCTGAAAGAATTCTAAAGTTGAGAAAAGTTTGCTGTTTTGCCATTTATAAATCTGTTTGATAAGAAATTATTTCTTTGATCTGCTCCAGGATTTGTGTACCCTTCTGCAAAGTCAATGAACTTAAAATTTAAGATCACTCTTGTGTAAAAGCTCTCTCTGGTGCATATGTTATAATGTTAATGTTATTACTTGCCTTTGAGGGTACTAATTATTTACTTTGAGTAGTTTCATATATTGACATAAACTTTGCTCTGAAAAATATTGCTTGCCATAAAATATACTGGAGCTGATATTCAATTTCTGTTTGGTAAAGCTGTATAGATTTTGGGGGTTAGTGGACGCTATTCTTCAGTAATTTTTTGGATTTTTGAAGGACCACGGTGGTATTTTATAAGAGGTTGAGCTTCGGTAACTTGTTCTACTCCAGCTATTGAAGAAACCTAAAGAAATGGTTAATAAAATAATAGGGCTCACTCTTATTAAAATTAAAAAAACAAACGAAAAAGTTTGAAGAGCCAGTGGCATATTGGTAAATTAAAGTGTTAGCCGGAATGAAAAAGGAAAGGGACCATCCACTTTTAAAATAAGCAACGATTATTTTTGATTGGGTGCTTCTAAACATTAGAGTGGTGTTATTTGTACTCCAATTTTTTTTCTCCATATTTTATTATTATAAACACTCAATTTTTTATTTAACACATTCTAAATCCAAAACAAAACTTTATTAAAATTTCAAAAACCCAATTTCTTGGCATCTTATCTTTTCTTTCTTCTTAACCGAAAATTTAAAGGATTTTAAGCTTCAATCAAGTTAAATTCGAAAAATTTTTTACTTATTTAAAGTACAAAAAATATAAAATTAAAGATAAATAGTTTGTTATTTCTACTTTTTCATTTGATTTATGTTTAGTTTCTTAAGATTTCATATTGAAATATTTGAGTGTGATTCAAAACTTTTGAAGATAAATTTTTAGAAATTCTTAAAGGTTTTCGTAAATTGATGTTAAAATTTATTTAGAAATTCAAGGTATTCAAAAATGGATATTCGAATATCTTTAAAAATTTTTGAAAACTCTTAAAAGTTTCAAAAATGGATGTTTGGAATAGGATGTGAAAGACAAAAAAGTAAATGATTAATGAGTATTTAAGTAATTTTATTAAAATTTAAATTTTTGGGGTATATTAAGAAAAAATTGAGGTGCCAATAGCAACACTCAAACGCTATTTTTTTTCTCTATATTTATTTTTTAAAAAATTATTTTTAAGTAAAATTATTTAATTATTTTTTTAATTTTAAAATTATTGAATATTATATTAGGTAAATTTTATAATTTATTGGTTATGTATATTCAATAAATTATTAAATTTATTGGATATGAAAATTTGATAAATTATATATTTAAAATTTTAAAAAAAAATCAGTTGAAGACAAAATAATATGAATTTTTGTAACATTAAAAAAAAGTAAGATTTATTTCAAATATTATAAATTTATTTATAAATTGATAGAAAAAATTATGCATGTAAATTTTTAAAATTTTTAATTTAAACTATCTAATATAAAATCTTTAAAAAATTTTAAATATGTGAATTGGAAAATTTTTAAAAATTTTGAAGTTTATAAATTTGAAAATTTTAAAAAGGTTTCGTATTTACAAATCATTTTGTATTGATATGATTTTGACAAAAAAAAAAAAAAAAAAAAAAAAAAACAGGTGTGTTTTGAAGAGCTCCCTGGACGCCGCTAAGTTTTCGAATTGAAGCTACGGCTAGCAACTGAAGAGCAGCGCCAACAAACCGAGATCAACATCCACTGCCAAACAATGGTGAACTTTATATTTTTTTCTTTTTCCAAACTTTAAAACTCATCGTTTTCCTAGTTATCATATAATTTGCTCGAATTCTTTCAATTGCCCGGAAGCGGAACGATCTAAATTCCTATTATGGTTCTTAAAGGATTTAATGCAAAGATCGTTTTTCGACTTGTTTTAGATCCATATTCCCTAATAAATGGAGATCCATATTCTCTAATAACTCTTGAATCTTTATGGTTTTCGTCAATTATGCTTTTGTCATAAATCTAGCAAGGAAGAACAGTAGCAGAAGGATCAAGAAGGATTATGGTTGTAACAGGAATTAGAAAGGTGAGCTAATGGAAGAAGCAAAGCTGGCTATTGAGTTAAGACAGGAAGGAGCTACGCTGAGCGAGAGAATTGAGCTGAAAGAAGAGAAAGCAGAGCCAGGATTGGAACTGAGAGTATGCTGACTAGGAACTGACTATGAGGATGCAGGCAAGGAAGCTGGTGCAATGAATTCTGCCGACATGGTTGATGGTTATTGGTCCATTTGCATGAAATTTGTATTGATAGCCGACTAGTAATCTGTTATGACAGGTATCATGTATTTTGTCAGCATCTAGCAAGGAATTTAGCGATTCTGTTACAAATGTTGTCATGAATTGTACCACATTTGTGCCTGTATAAGAAGAGTGCTGTAACGACCAGGAAACGAATGAAAAATTGCAAATTCTCTACTTCTTTCTCTTTATTTTCTTTATTTCTCTTCTGGTCTACTTTCTTATTTCTTCTTATTTGGTTCTTTATGTCACAATCATTCTGTGTCAGCTTTTCTGGTTCACATCTCCTTTATTTTATTTTATTTTTTATTTTTAGTATTTTGGATTAAAATAGGTTGTGCTTGCAATGCTGGCGTTAGGGTATTAATTTCTGGGCTTTATTATGAATGTTAGCGTAGGTTTTATGATGTTAGTAGGGTATTAGTTGCTTTGAAAATTGAGTCCCAAACCTTTTATTCAATGGTATCCAATTCTTTTGTCTGCTTGAGATTTTTTGTGATTCCCTGTTCTTTGTTTTGTTTTATCAGAAAATTTTGATGACTTTTTTTTAGTTGGTTAGAGGATTATAGTTTCTTTTGATCAACGGCATTCTTAGTGTTAAACAATATGAAGTAGGGGTTAGTTTTATTATCAGGTTAAATAATAATGCTGTGTGGTATGGGCTACTGGCTTTACCTTTACAGGACGGGCACAATTCGGAAGAGTCAAAGCAAAACACAGCTGATATGACTGTTTTTGCGAGTCCCTCAATCTTTTAATAACGTGAATAATAAATAATAAGTGCTTTCAATGTATGCTGTTTTCCTAGTATCATGAGGGCATAACCACTGCTAATTTTGATTTAGTCTCAACTTGTAGGTCGCCAAGCGTGGAGCATAAGTCTCTAATGAATATAATTCAGAAATTTTGATGTGCCTTCTTATAAGTCTTTAGTTACCGATTTTTTTGACTGATTTTTGCAAGTACAAAAATCTTCTTCTATGAGTTACAGCTGGATTATGTTATTGAGAAATATTCTGTTTGCAGCAATCCAGGTTTCAAACAATGTCTGATTCCATTATGACAAAGAATATCCTTTTCACATGTTCTTAGATTTCATTAAAGAACAAAGATTATGTACGTGAATGTAAAATTCTAAAACAGCCAATTAAAGAACAAAGAAACATAAAAGGGTAAATGATAATATATCTAGGAATTTATTTAATGACTTAGAATTTCTACCTCACCAGAGAGAAGCTTCATATTCTAACTTTATCCACTTTATTGCTCTATGTTTTTCTATCCTGCAAATGAGACAAAATAAAGGAAACCTTAACCACGGTAACGAGTAATGTCGTTGCAGCCTCGGTTGTCAGGGTAAGGTTCTGCTTTTGGCTGACAGTTATCGTTGGATGCACCCCTTCGAGAGCATAGCACCGGGTTCTTCTGAAGAGCTCCATAGCTTATGTACGGGGTGGTTTGCAACATGCGCCTGCTGCTAATCTCGGGGTATCCATGTTAAACTCACGGTTAGCTATGCACCCAGCCATCGAGCCCAGGCAGACAGATTTGGTCGGCACGAAGCTCAAGTTGTGTTCACCACTTGAGTCGACGGTTGACAAGGCGATGATCAGAGTTGCGAGGACGAGGGAAACGGCCAAGAGAAAACCAGAGGAATTAGCCGTATTTAAAGCTACTAATGAAAGAGTTGGAAGAATTAGATTGACTAACTCTGTATTTATCAAAATGCCACTTCACTTGGCCTCAGTATTACTTTTTTTCCCTTTCCAAATTTCTATTTTTCATTCCCAAATTAATGAATATGAGGTGGTTTGTTGTTAACATTCCTTCCCTTATCTTTGTGCAATAGCGATAGGTTTGTTCATTAAACTTGACTAAGTGATATGCAGTTTACATCTTTGTCGACCATCCTTATGGATGAGTATCTGATAATCCTAATCCTTAATCTGTGTAGACAATCCCAAATGTATCAGTTTTGGTACTTGAAAATGCTATATGAACTTAAGATGATTTGTTATAGTTCATCCAGAAATTCTTTTATTGGAGAATATGTTGTCATAATACAATTTGGATTCAATAGATGGTGCTTCAAGTAATCTTGAATTATTGGAAGGGAGGAATTGTCTTTCATCTTATTAGAAAAAGACCCTGTTTATGTCGACGTCTTAACGTGACTTCTTGAGCTTAGTTATTCGTTTAAGTAGTAGATTTGTATCAAGGTTGAAAAAAATATAAAAAAATATAAAAAATCGATTTGAAGTGTAGTGTTTAATTAGGTTTAAATTGATATTTTATTCAATTTCGTTTAAGTTTAAATATTAAATATTTTTATTAAGTTTAGATTAAATTTTAGATTGAAAAATATAAAATAAAAAATTTTTGAATTGAATCGAATTAGATATTTTACTAGTTTTATATTTTTTTAAATTTTTATAAAATAAAATAATTACTTTTATATCTAAATTTATTTAAATATATTAAAAATTATATTAAAATAATATAACAAATAAAAAATAAATTTAAAAAATTAATGAACTTAAAAAAAGTTACTTGGTATTTAGTTTCTGTTTAA